TTCAAATGGAGAATTCACTTTCAGAAATCCAGTTATTTTCACTGCCCATTCTGTGCCCCCATATATTTCCAACCCACAAAGTTGTCCAAAGTTCAAAAACATCTCAAGGGACACTTCAACAGAGCAGTGCAACATGAAGCAAACATCTTCTTTTTTTTCTCTTTTTTTTTAAAAGATCAAAATGCGATCGTATAGGCTACTGTTGTATTCCAGGGTACACCATACATCGATGCGGTCGCCCCTGCCGAACCCAGCAACATTATCATTTTATGATTATCCAAAGCGACTTAAAAGTAAAGTCACTAACACAATTCTTTCTTCCTTTTTTCTTTACAGCAAGATGATGTTTAGGTGATCGGTAAATAAAGTAAAGAATTGTTTATTATTGGTGTTTTGTCTATTCTTATTTGAGTTTTGCTTCGCATTCAAAATATCAAAAAACAGGTTTTGTAATGTTAGCATGGTATAATGTTAATTAGACCATTATAGGTTGAACTGAAAGAAAAATTTGAATTTGAATTAAAAAAACATTGTAGCAATATAATATCACATAATATTTTTCAGAAGATAGTTCAATCTGTAATTGTATCCCTTCCATCAGTAACACAATGAGTTTTTTTTGGCACATGCATTAAGCAGGGAACGCTAATATTTATTTGGATAACTTTAAATAAAACGAGACCGTAATATTGCATCCTTTTCTTTTCAATGGCATTTGGATAAGGGTGCGCTGTCTCGAAAAACAAGGGGTCTGAGAACGCGGGACTCTGTGTGCGGGTGTTATACGATCTTTCGAACAGCAGGAGGCGCTGTCTCGAAAAACGAGGGGTCTGAGAATGCGGGACTCTGGGTGGGGGACTGTAGTTGCAGGCTCCGAGTCTGCAGCTTCATAATATTGCCCTGTGCTGATTGGAGCCGATGATCCGGGAGCTGTGGATTTTTGCAAAACAAATAACACGCTCCAGGTGGAGTCAGAAGCTCGGGTTTTTTTCTAAAACCACTTTATTTATGTTGTTCTGTCGGATTATAGTGTTGATTTCACTGAATATGATAAAAAAATTTTTTGCCGACGGCACCTTTAATGGTAACACTTTATTATGATGTTCCACTTTAGACATTCTATCAACTAAAAGTAACTTTGCAACTTTTAGGAGAAATTTTAGAGTTCATTTTTAAACTCCTCGAGGTTTATGAGACTAATAGTTTAGGGTTACAGTTGACATGTAAGGGCCATTTACACGACACAGTTAACTAAAAACGGAAAACGTTTTATGCATTTTAGCCGTTCATTTACACGGCAACGTTTTGGGGGCCTGAAAATGCAAACTTTTGAAAACGGAATTCAAAGTGCAAGTTTTTGAAAAAAACTACAAAAACGGTGACGTCATGCGCATGCGTATTACGTGTTCAGTCGATAGGTGCGTAATGTTTCTTTACAAAGTGACATCACCAACTACTGACCTGGCATACATATATAAATACAAGTACATATATAAATACAAATACAGCGTTTTTAATCATTTTCGTTGATCTGTGTGAATGGGGATAAAAGCTACAGTTAGAGTACTGTCTATTTGTTCTTTCTCAGAGGTAAAAGAGCGTATATTTTTTAACTGATCAGAATTATATTTAACAACAGACAGCTGCTTCCAACAGTCCATATGCAGATGTACCCTGCTCATTATGTGTTGTGGACACACTTTTGTGTCTTGGAGCTGTTTGCCATAGACAAACACACACACATTAGGGCACAATGATCATCTCATGTTTAAACCACAGCAGATCAATAACCAGCCGTATCCTGGCAACACACCCTGCCATTCCATTTGATCTTTACAGCGTGTGTCATCCTGTGGCGCAGGTTGCCAGAGTAACCCCATTATTACGCAATGGATAATTCCAAATGGTTATCTGTGTTCTATCAGAACGACCGTGACCATCTCGTTAGAAAAACACACCGAATTAATTACACGGAATGAAAGAGGGAGAGAACAAAAGAGAGAAACAGGAAGCTGTTTGCTTGAACATATAAGGGCATGAGATGTTTTGCACATTGCTTATGTCTCCTCAAAACACTGTGATGGTTAGTGAGTTAAAACATTTTGGAATCATTGCAAAGTTAATGAAATGCAAACACAAATTCATTCAAATTACATTCTGTAATCCTGAATCCAGTTTAACCAGACACTAATCTGAATGAGATTTTATTTTTACTTTTTGCTGTTGGAGTAAAAAGAAAATGCAAAAATAATTATAAAAAAAATTATATGGTCTCTCATTTATCTTTATAGAACTTGACCTTGCTATAATTTTTTTTTCTGTTCGAATAGGACTTATTTACAAATCTCAGAAAATAATGTTGAAGGTAGCAGTATATTCTGTGATTTTCTGTCTTTAGTCACAGATATGCATACAGACACATACTGACGTCAAACTATTAACATCAGCGTGTGAAATGTAATTCATCTGCAGTCACTATTGATATGCGTGTCACATGACCCACAGGCAACACAACTGAATCAATCCATCCTTAGCAAAAGGAACTTGTACATTAGTACAGAATCCAGTGCTAGTCAAACAAACCCATATGAGTCATATTAATGACAGGGAACATTTTCCCATACCATTAGTTATTACAAATCTGCCATTAAAAACACTGAATGTGCACTTGCTGTAGGCCTACTTCAAATCTTGCAGATAATATCATTTTAATTAAATAAAAGGCCAATTAAGTGTACTTAAAGATAGTACATTTTTCATGACTACAGGGCTTAACCTCGGGTTATCGGCGTTCTAAACCCCACGTGGCTCGTAGTTGCTTTGGACAGTTAATGAAGCAATGGACGTTCCATATAAACATTCGTTTCAGTATTTTGAGGGGACAAATGTTAAATGGTGACAGAATGCGTGACAATTAGGGTAAAGAAGGGGTTTAAGTCCTTTCAGTATGAACTTGATAGTAGCGTCTGCAATATATAATACGTGGATGTGCAATGCAAGAGCTTTTATGTAAACAGGTCGCATACTGCGTTCGTCCAATCAATGACACTGACACCGCAAATATGCAAATAACAACGTTAACCCGGGGTTTAGGAATGCACAGTGTGAAACGTCAGTTTATGAATACCCAGGATTAACTGTTAACCCCGGGTAAATTATGAACAATGTGAAAAGGGAAGCAAGATAACCCAGGATTCAGTTTACCCGGGGTTTAGAATGACCCTGGGTTAACTATGAAAAGCCCTTATGTTTCTCAACACACTTAGGTACACTTTTAGAAAGTACACGTTGTAATAATATCAACTTAAAAAGTTTTACTTTAAGGTGCATTTAAAATCTTAAGTGCAATTATGTTTTAATAATCTTTTGTCACACTTTAAAGTAGCACTTATTTTGATGTGCTGACTCACATACTAAAGCATGTAAAGTACTCGATTATATTATAAATGTATGAAAATATATTTAAATGTGCTAAATTGCAACTTCATCATTACAAATGTGTAATTACAAATATCAATATAAATATAAATAATGGTTTAGTTTAACATAAATGCTTGTCAGTACATTCGGTAGTATAACCATATTTCAAAGACAACAGAAGTATGAAATAACAAATTACTTAAGCGGGGCAAAAAGAGCTTTTACTTTCAACTAACTGCATTTAGTATCAATTTTAACTATAATACATTTTTATTTAATTCCAATTAACAAGCAATTAAGTGTCCAAAACATTACATTCAGTTCATTCAGTATATTCTTTTAAAATGTCTTATTTACAGTAGGCTACATCATCAATACACCTTTTACAAGTATGCTAAAGTGTCTTTATTTTTCAGAAGGGTTGACATCATTTTCGAGAAGGAATCACTTTTAGCAATGCTTTGCTTAAGATATTTGGTTAGTACCGGTAAGTATTACAATGAAGCGATCTGGTGCTAAATTATACTTGTATGCAGTCAATGTTTGTTGAGTGGTTACTGTGGTTGTCATCATGGAGGAAGCAAAAGTAGCAATATTCATGAGCTAAGCTTTCATCTTTTCACGAAGTCATAAATGAAAAGCCAAACACACTACTGCCAAAACGGTCCCCACCATTTAAAAAAAAGAAACAAGAAAGTGATATCCATGCTGTTGTATGATTATACACACAGCAAACGCTGATACTGCATCTGCAAAAATCTGCTTCAACTATCTATTCTATACTTGATTTGATTGAGGATTAAACCTTCCACACTAGAAGCAAGTCAAAATACAGCTCTCTCTCTTTCAGGCTGGACAAAGCTTTGTTTCAAGATGCAAATGCAGTCACATTAAGCTTATCTCAGGGATTCCTTACAGCCCACATACACATACAACATGCCCTAACTAGACACGACAAACAAGTATTTACTGCTATCCTCACTGAAAGAGAAAATACTGTGTAATGTGACACAATAACACCCAGTCAGAACATATTTGTTGTTTAACGCAGCTAAAGTGAAGCCGATCAAATATTCTATGGTTTCTATTGAAGAGACAGCTTTTCTGACTTCAGGACATGAGGGTACCTCACTTACAAAAAATGAACAAGAGAAATCACAACTCTCAGTATGGAGGCTTTAAAAAAGCCTTATTCTTGCACACATAGGCATTAGATCAATATGAAACGTTTTAGCCTGATTTGACCTATCAAAGGTCAAAATGGTGACTAAACTTGTTATTGAAACATATAATAACATAAAGCTTTTTTCAGATGGACAACCAAGATGGTTGCCAATTGGACTACTTTATTTACCTTATTTTTCAACGTGAAAGAAAGCTATTTCGAGACTTCTGATTCATTAGCTGCTATAGGTAAATGACTAGAAGAATAACAAAGTGCAGTAAATGGTAAAACTATCTGCGCTACAAACCAGTGTGTTTATGATTACGATAATAAATGAAAATAACATGTTAACAAATACCAGTATGCTGCATCAAAAATACGTCATAAGAAGGTGGAGAGAGTATTTTGGTCTTACCCAGATAAGACACTCCTTCTTCAGGTGTGATGGTTCCATATTTGACCATCATCTTCACAAAGTCGATCAAGGTCTTCATGATGGTGATCAGGGTTTCTCTCTCCTCTTTATCTTGCTCTGTAAAGTGAGAGGAGAAGGATGTGATAGATTAAGCGATGACACTAGACTTTAATCTGGATTAATGTGGAAGAGGACAGTTGAGACCACAGGGAATGTGCTTGGCCAGATGGTGATGTTTCTACAGACCTTATAGCTGTTGATCTACTCAATGAGCTGTGTTGTGTTGTGTTGTGTTGTGTTGTGTTGTGTTGTGTTGTGAGGCGTGTGTTTCAATATGGTCTGTGTGTCTTTTGTGTGTGCTGTGTTGATGAAGTTGCAATTTAGTACATTTAAAATTGAATAACATACTACAATTAAAATGATAATCAAGTACTTTACATGTGCTTTATATGTTAGTAGTCAACATATTCAAATAGGTGTACTTTAAAGCATGACAAGAGATTATTACAACAATTAAATTATTTAAAATGTAACTTTAAATTTGACATTTATTACTTACTATTTATTACATTTAGTGTACTTAAGTGTGTTAAGAAATACAGTCAATTCAATCATATTATATGATCTGCAACTACAATGTTTTTGTGAAAATATACTTTTTATACAATTAAGCACACTTCTTTTTCACAAGGGGTGGTTTGTTTTGTACAGTAGCTTTCTGTGTGTGTTGTGTCATGCTATATTCTATAATGTTGTGTGTTTTATTTTGGTTTGTGTTTTTGTGTGTATTGTGTTGTATTATTTGTTATGTATTTTATTTGTTCATATTAAGTTGTTCACAATATATGTTCATACTGCCCAGCTCTCCTGCGGGTGACCCTGATTTCACCGAGTACAACATGTTCCTGGATCAACATTGAACATTGTTGATCCTGGAACAACATTCTAATCATCCAATCAGATTTGGGGGACACGTTTACAGTTTATGTCAAGTTTAGGCTTAAAACCAGGATTAGGTGCTTCTACATCACTGTTATTCACTTATCATTCCCTCTGATAATAGGGATAAGTTGTGGGTAGAGTTAGGTTTAGGGGTTTTCAGACAGGAATGTTGTTCCAGGAACATGTCTTACTTGGCAAAATTCCAGTGACCCTCTACTGATGTGTGTTGGACTCTCTTTTATCATTTTATATTGTATGTTGTATTTTGTTGTGGTATGTACCTGTGCTATATTTGTGTTGTATTGTATGTTGTGTTGTCTACCTGAGTCAAGGCTCTTTAGGAGTCTGTAGAAGTTGGGAAAGAACTGAAGGTCCTGAAGTCCGTCTTCAGGGTTCAGTTCATTTCTGTCATTCCCGTCGCTCACGGCGTCCCATGAATCATCTGCCCTCACTGTGTCATCTCTACTCTCCTCCTCCGGTTCTTCATCACCATTATCATCATCGCCACCATCATTATCCCCTTCATCCTCTTCCTCGTATCGTCGGCTGGGCCTGTCTTCCTCTTCCTTAAAGTCCCCCTGTGGTGAAAGTTTTTAATGTTGTTTATATGCCTATGTGGTGCTTTTAATATGGTTTAAGACAAACCATGAGCAAATTCATTTTTGTCCTTAAAACTGCAGTGAACTAAAGACAGGCTCAAAAACGCGTTTCTGACGTCACAAACTACCTTGTAACCAATCACGTCAACGTGTGATCGTCAACGAGTGGATCTCTAAGCTGGTGTGAGTGAGTGGAGGCGGGGCTAATTTGCATATTCATAGAACCGCATATACTAAATGAGGCAAAGGGTGTAGAGTCACATTCAATATTTCGCTTAAATATGTCATTACGGTGATCAAAGATGAATTTCAAGGGATACAATTATTGACTACAGGGGGGCTTTAACAGAAGAATCCAAGCAAACAGCATTTTTTCTATAAAACCTCGATAAACACATAGTTAGTAGAAACACTACAGTCACACACTCGTACCATATTGTTCTGTGTTTCTTTAGCTGCGTTTACGGGGTAGTCCATATTGAGGTCTCCAATCATGTTCTCTTTGGCGTTTTTAGTGATCAGATCCTGCAGGGCTTCAGCAACTTCATACTCCAGCGTCTCTGCCTGACTGTCTGTGATCTGAAGGACAAACAAAAGAACACAACATCTGCTAGAACAATCAATTCACAGAGGGATTATTGTATGACAATCTATTTTCCATGCAATTCAAGCTGGTTAAACTGGAATTTGTTCCCCTAGAGCAAATAATACATAATATATGTTGTTTATTGCATGGTTCATCAACATGGTAGTTATCAGAATCACTGCTCATGCCACCATTTGAATTTCTTACTAGGCCCAGCTTGAGCAGTTTAGACACAATTCTGTCAAACACTCCTCTGTCATCCTCTTCGTAGATTTTGTTGGCGATTTTCTGGACGATGTCCTGAGCTGTTAGCGGAGTCCCGTCCAGCTGCCGAAAGCTTTCAGGATCATCTGAAACCGAACACATGAAAATATTTCACATCTCTCCATTTAAACAAAATGATCAAAACTGAATATTAAAAGCTGTTCACAATAAGGACTAAGGATTACTATAACAATTCAGTTTAATAAAGTTTTAATAACAGTTCTAATTGTATGAAATTACAGACAATAATTATGTCAACAGAGGAACGATATTGTTGGAATCACTTTCAGAACACTTTTTTTTTCCAGTGTATGAAGTTTATGCCTATCAGAATCCACAAGACTTTAAATAACTCACGCATTTGAAATAGCGTAAAAGTGTTTCGCTTCTGGATCCTGATCACCATATTATTTTTTTTCACAGTAATAACGGCTGACTATACCTTGCTTACTAATAACCTTTAAGCAGATATTTTAGAAAATTTTAATGAGCTAAAGGGAGTGGATCCATATGCTACCTGCATGGGCCCATTTGGGCCCGCCGATATTAAACAATAATATCTTAGTAAAAACCTAAAGTAATATTGCCAAACTATATATCATTTGAAAGCTTAAAATCTCTAGTTTTCATATTTGGTGGCTGTTATCTAAAATATATTACAGAGGAGCAGAAATTTATCAATTTGCAACAAGAATATTTCATATTCATTAGGAGTATTTAGGCCTTTATTTTGAAATAACAATAAACATGAAAAATCATGAAAGATTGGTAGAAACCTCAGTTTGTTTTCATGCCATGAGTTCAAAAGATAACACCAATTCCATTTTATGAGAAAAAAAAGGTCTGAAAATGTTTTAAATATAAAGAAAAATGTATGGATTCTCGATTTGTAATGCGGCTGCGAGCTATAACGCTATAACGTAGTCTTTATGCATTTATTAGAGGTTTAATTCAAATCAAATACTGCCAAACCACCCATACTACTTCTGAATAGGATGTCTACTTCATAAATTGTATGAAAATTATGGAAATACATGGTTCAGATCACTCAAAACATATGAAAATGGAGGCGCCCTTATATGGGCAGTAATGGAGTCTGGTCTTCACCTAGTGAAAAAGTTGGGTACTGCGCCCGAATAAAATCTTACTGAAAGCTCATTTTTTGAGATATCAACCTAAAATTTGGAATACAACTTGTTCAGATATTTGACTTTAATTTTCTTGCAGTTTTAGAGTAAAATATATTTTGTAATATATATATTTTATATAAAATATTAATCATTATATTTTTACATTACACAATTTCATAAACTCAAACTTATATAACTTTTTTTCTGTTTCATTTTTTACAATTTCTAGACTTCTACAATAATCTGGAAAATGTCTTCTTTAAAACAAGACCAGCCATAGGTCTAAATTCCAAAGCATTCCTGAATTACAACCATTTAAGTTTGGATAGTGATTTTTATGTCTATGCAAAAAAAAGGGGGGTGCCAGTTAACAGGATAATATTATATAACACTTTCACATTCAACCTTTATATGTCAAGAAGTGAGAGTGTGTGTCTTTTAGATGGTAAATAGCTAATATCTATTAACAGAGATTCTGGCAATAGATTAGCTTCAATGTCTTTTGAATTTGAAATCGGTGCTACCTGACTAGAGAAACAGAGAAAAGGAAGAAAAACACCCATAATGCACTGGGCATGTTGCCGTTCAAGGCCACTTCCAGACTGCGCTTGGATAGGCTTGACTAGAGTCAAATATCACCTTGCTTTAGTAGGAAATACTTCTTAGCAAACTTTTAGTCACAATGATTTCAACTTCATTTACATTTACTATTGATATTTTAACAATAAAACTTGGTTTGAAAATCAGTGAACTCACACTTTAAAGACCCCATGATAATGTTGAAAAAAAAAACACCCCCTACACAACGGAAGGTGCATGGTCCATAGGTTTATTTTTCAGTGCGCTGCATTTGAAACTAAAATTATTTTATCAAAAGCCTACAAGCTCAAAGCTCTTAAAAAGCAAAAAAAAAGTAGGAGGAGAATGTGTGAAACAGAGATCTGAATGTTGGAGCTGGAATCTGCCAGCAATTCTTGTCTGTCTGTTGTAATTCCGGTAACCCATTGAAATTACACAAAAACACCTCCCACTCTGTTATCTGCCATTATCTACCACAGAGATCGACTTACACTGCCATATTCGCTTCCAGTAAACTCACCATCTGCCTGAAACGTGAAATTGATCAAAAGTCTAATGCTAATTCTAAAAGAGAGTCAGAGGTCCTAGGTGGTCAGAGTGCTCACTGTATATTGAACGACTGTCATATGGTGAAAATGTAATAAATTAACACATGACTGCCCACATGTACAACACATATTCAGTGTTCAGAAAAATGGTTGGTGAGGTAATAAGAACCACATAGAACAGATACTGTTGTTCCTAAACACCAGAATAACTAACAAGTAAAGCATAGCACAGTTTGTCAAATATTTTGCTGTGTGTAGCACCTACAACTCTGCAGACCCTTCCGAAGGATACCAATAATGGAAACGAGAAGCTGAAGTTTATTTTTAACAATATCCTCAATCATTTCATTGTGATCTTAACAGTTTGAACAGTACAATTTAGTTTGGATTTTTTTTATGAATTACAAATCACAATGTAACAATCACAGTAAGTCGCAATATAATTGCGGCTTTGCAAAGAGATTGTTATTGAAGGATGAGTATAAAGTGAAAATCATAAAGTAAAAATCGATTTTTTTTCGAAAAGAAAAGAATCGAAAAGAAACTTTGAGTAACGTTATAGGGTAGGGGAAAATGTCAAAATGTATGACATGACCTCTTTGAGCTATTATGCTCTATTTAATGTGTGTGTACACTGTAAAAAAAATCCCGTTGTTTTTACGGAAAAAAACTGGCAGCTGTGGTTACCAGAACTTTACCGTCAAAAATACGGTATCAACGTTTTTGGTTTTACAGACTTAACTTAAAATTTACAGTAAGTTAAGTCTGTATTAATATCTGTTTTGTACCATGAAATTTTAAAAATGCAATAAACATTAATTTAACAACATTAAATGTAACATAAAACCCTAAAGTACATAACTGATTAGAAAAGAACTAAGAAAACTAAGAAGAAACATAGTTATTTCAACAAAAATAAATCAAATGTGAAGTGTCATGCAGGGAATTGTGGGAATGTCAATTTACGTTTTTTCACTGTAAATTATACAATGAGTTGTTCTTTTCACTTTCAAAAACTGTAAATTTAACGGCATTTTACAGTAAAATTACATTAAATGTACCATTAGATCTATCACAGTTATTTACCGTATATAGTAAGGAAACTTTCTGTTAACCAATTAACAGTTTTGCACTGTCTTTTACCGTTAAAATCACGATCATTTTTTACAGTGTAGGTTTAGTCTGACTGCCCTGTTGTAGGTTTAATGCTATAAAACATCCAGTACAGCAGCCTGTGAAAGGATAATCCTCTGCCTCTCTCTCTCTCTCTCTCTCTCTCTCTCTCTCTATTCTCTACAAAATACCAACTGATTGACCTATGGTGTCTGCCACCTGTTCCTGTATTTAGGATCACATACAGTCACAGGGTTTATGGTTGATTAGCATTTTCAAAGTGGGAGATAATTTGGCTTTTGACAGGTCAAAACAACAACAACAACAACAGCAACACAAATGTTCATAGATATTTTACTTTTTCTTGAGGTTGGCTATTTTACAACACAATTTCCTCTCACATAAAAGTTACGACTAGAAGACAAAAGCAATGCTCAAAATGGAATATTAACATAATAAACACTGCATACTGCCTATTTTTGTTTTTGTTTTATTTTTTTGAAAAGTATTTGAAAAATGTATGCCCACATATGTTACTATATGTGGACATAAATGTGGTTACATTTTTTATTTAACCCTATGTATAAATGTCTTGCATTTTGTTAGTTTGACTAAATAATCAAAATGGGTATAAATCAAATTCTGGTTCATTCGTTACACTGGAAAGAGCAAGCACATTGCATTGTGGGATACATTGTTCCACACATAGTGTGCTCTTTAAAATATATAGAATATATTATAAAATATATATGCCAAATATAGTAGGTCATCCGTCTAACCCATGCATGTGTGTGCACTGTGCAATCAACATATTGTGCACTGTACACATACCGCATAGTATGCTATGCTGAATAAACTTTGTTAGTATGGTAATTGTAGTTCTTACCTTGGTATTTGTAGTCCATTACATTTTTAGTAGAGTCATAGTCTTCAGCTAGTCGTCTGTTCTTAGTAGAGTCGGCCTCATCAGAACCGTATCGCCCATCCTCAGAATCTGAGATGGGAGTCTCGTTGTTTGACTCTTTGGACTTCTCGGCCAGAGACTTGAGGAAAGTGATGTCATCGTCCTCTGAGTTTGATTCTGCCTCAGCTGGTGGTGTTGCCTTGGGTTCTGCATGGATGAACAGCAAGCAATTGTGAGCTATTGATCACTATGAAGCACTTTGTCCTCATAAGATTATATCTCACCTGTCTTCCTGATGCTGTCAGCTTCTGCAATCTGTTGAAAAAAATATAAACAAAATCTCGACTCGTGCTCATTTTTATTTTTTTAATGTATTTTTTATTTTGAACTTCATGCATAAAACGTCTTCTATTGTCATGTTTTCTAGCAAACAGTATTTAGCCTGATGCTTAATGTAGGTACAAAGTATATTCATCTGGGTCTTTCACATAACATGGCAACTAACAATAAGTTAGTATATTTCTGAAATCACACCTGCTGTTCTAATGGCTTCTCCTCAGTCAGCTCTCGGTTGTACATGCTCTTATCTGGATCAGGAAAGAAACACGCATTCAAAAAAGGCAAAGATCAACGATCGCAGATCAGTCTTTTCTCACCTTAAAGATATAAAACTGAAAACTGAAAATGTATTTTTGTGTTCCGCAGAAGAAAGAAAGTCATACAGGTTTCGAATGATATGAGAGTGAGTATTACAGATTTTGGTAGCACTTTCCTTATAGCCTTTAATATAATGCATTATAAAAGTATTTTAATCCATTAATTATGCCTTGTAATGCACCTTATAATGCATCTCATAAATAATTGTAACCACAGTTATAATACGTTATACTTATCTGTAAAGGGTTACACCTTTAGAAAGTATATTGCATTAAAACACGCCAAACATCCAATTTCAAATATAACAATCTGCGAATGCAAATGCAATTTAACTTTGGTTACAATTATTTATGAAAAGATATAATGCATTATAATGTACATCATGAATACCTTTATAATGCATTATGCATAAAGTGTTACCCTGATTTTTTATTTTCTTTTTTTCTTGTTGGTGAACTATCCTTTCTACACTGACCAGGAGGAAGGACGAGAAGAGAAGATCTGCAGTATTGCTACTACAGTGTCAATCTCAGATTACTGTTGATTGGTTATTATATTGTAACTACAATATAAAGATATTGTAACAACATAATTTTAAAGAATCTGTGCACCTCTCACCTATGTGAATCGGGTATGATTTTGATGGAATCAAGACACTCTACATTAGAGAAGATTAGTTTTACCCTAAAGTAAAGACATTATTAATATGCTTTTTATTTTTTACTTTATGGTTGTTGAGATCTTTGATGCACTCAGTTGCAGTCCAAACTGTTCGAGAGAAGCTGCCACCAAATAATCGGATTACTGGACAAAAGATTAAAGGCCTTTGAAAACACCAGAGCCCAGAGCTTTATATACAATAAATAGTGAAAACATCAACAACAAAATAAGCAATCCAATTCGTGCACCTTCTTTCCACATTTATATGGAGTTAGTAGGCTAGTCAACCAATATGAGTTTTTCCACTGGCTAATATCTAGAGTATAGTAAAGCCTATAATTGTTGGCTACCTGTATTTCAAATTCAATTTAATACGAAATGTGACTGAAATTGAATACATTTCGTTTACTCAATATTTACTCAAAATTCCCTTTGAAAACAGAGCATCTAGTCTAGAGAACTGTTAACTGGTCACGTGGGTACTGTCCTTAATACTATCAAATGTGCAAAATATTGACTGATTAACTGACCGAGGCAACATTATTCTATATTTGTAGCATTTTATTAGGCTACACGCCATGTATGTTATGGTATGTTTCATTTAATTAGAATAATCGTCTAAATCAAATATTCCCTATTGTATAATATATTGGACTGATGTATTGTCCTACATGTTTTTTGGAAATTTAATAACTCACCGTCGGGTCCGGCAGGTGTGGGAAACGCGCTGATCTGCGATATCACAACAAGGACAACCACAAACCCTACGCGTATTGACGCCATCCTTTAGCTGGTTTCCGAATTGTCGTATATAGTTTTGATATGTTTTCTTCTGTGTTGTCCTCTGTGAAGATGAACGGCACCGTTGGTTTGGTTTTGTGGCGCGCGCTGGTGTTGGCTGGATGCCGCGCGCTCTCAGCGCCTCTCCTCTATAAGCGCAAAGACTTGAGTTCTGCGGGAGCTGTTGAGTCCCTGCAGTGCTGAAACCAGGTCGCTGGCTATAATTAACAGCGGATAAGCTGATGGGAGCTCCTCGTGTATAACGGGCCCTGATTCCAGTAGCTCATGGATGGAGGAGGAGGAGGAGAACGGCACGGTCACATCCGCCCATGTGCGTCAGTCTGAAGCACCTGCGTCACACGCGCATCTCACAGTCATTAATGCTGCGGGGCAGTAAACGACCGATGAGCCCTATGGAGAGCAGATAAGAGATAACACAGCAGTCTGATGTCTAAAAAAAAAAAAGAGAGAGATTTATGACGATGCAGATTCAAATGCAAATTAGAGATTTGACCTGCTTTGTTTAATCCACCATTATATCTCTGCTTTGAAATGTAGCCTACGTTAAAAAAAAAATGTTTAGTCAGTTCAGCTTAGAAAATGTACTTCATGAAACATCTACGATAACTGGTTTTGTTGAAATGAAATAAATTAAGATTACTGAGTAACTGAATTCAACCAACCTGAAAAAAAACAAGGTTTTGCTGAAGCATAACTGTCTATAACCTGATTTCTCCAGCTAAAATTACTTAATAGGTTTGAAATAATCTGTAACACTTTACTAAGGTTCATTAGTTAACATTATTTAATGTATTACTAACATGAACTATGCGAAAATACATTTGTTTCTGTATTTCTTAATCTTTGTTAACGTTAGTTAATAAAAATACAGCTGTTCATTGTTTGTTCATGTTAGTTCACAGTGCATTAACTAATGTCAACAAGATTTAATATTAGTAAATGTTGAAATTAACATGAACAAAGATTAACAAATGCTGTATAAATCCAGTTAATTAACTAATGTAGTGAACTAATGTTGTTTACTAATGAATCTTATTGTAAAGTTTTAGCCTACCATATAATCTTTTTTTGTTTTATATGGTTTTATAAAGTTCTTTTCCTTTATATAAATAAACTCAAAACTAATTAATTATACCCTTAAACTAAATGAAGACATTTTTACACACAGCTTAATTTAGTTTATTCAAATTAATTTGGTTTAGTTGGGTCAACAGTGTTGTTCACCATTATGCACAATGTATATAATGAACCATTAAGTTAAGACAGGTGTCACTGAGCATTGAACATTGAGTGCCAGCAGCCTGAGCTGCAAAATTCAAAAACAGAAACTCCTCTGAATGTCCAACATAACTGAACATAAAACATTAACAAAAACTACCAACATCTTTCGCTAAATTTACTTGCATTTACCCTTGCAAAGCATGCTGAGAACAACAGATCCACTGCCCAGGGGTGCATTTCCCAAAATCATTGTGAGCTAAGTTGTTCGTAGAGCCTTTGCCACCAATGGTCTCTCCGATCAACTTAGCTCATGGTGCTTTTGGGAAACAGCCCTGGGCAGTGGATCTGTAGTTCCCAGCATGCTTTGCAAGGGACTCCATTAGGAGAGTAAATGTAGGGATTAAGTGTTATTTTATGTGTTTTACAGTAAAGGGAAAGATGTTGGTAGTTTATGTTAATGTTTAATGTTAAGTTATGTTGAACATTATGAGTTTCTGTTATTGAATGTTGTGGTGAAGAGTAAAGTGCTGTCAATTGCGACGTTCACATTGATGCAGTTTGAACTTATTGTGTATAATAAAGCCTATAATCACAATTTCTCATTGAAGCAACATTCACCAATAAGCAAGGAGGAGGTGCGCATGTGTCAGATGTGTCAACTTATGCTTCTGATTGAAGTAGGTTACAACAATGTTCACTTTTTACAGGATAGGCTATTTATATAAATATATATATATATATATATATATATATATATATATATACAGAACAGCGAGGATGGAGAGTCCAGGTTTATCCAGTGGAAGTGGGTTGTCGAGGATTTGTGGCACACTCCGGTTCCTCAGAGACGTCGGATTCAGTGGCCAAGAGTTGCGTCGCACAGTAAAGAACTTATCTGAAGCAGCAGAGAGGAGCAGCAACTGGCTGTGGTTGAGACGGAAAGATTCTGGCTGGCTGTGTACAGGCCGCCACGTTACGGTTTAGAAGAATTCTTGAAAAACTCGAAGAGTCTGTTGGTTTATTTGTATAGTTTGTATAGTAATTACAGTTATTACGTTCCTGTGTATATTGCGTGAATGAGGGTTGGTGTTTGGGCAGATATTGTGTTTTGTGGAATAGGTAGTATGCCATACGGAACCGTTGCCACTGAAACTACTTTAACGAAGACAGTGGGGCTTGACAGCCTTAGTCAAATGGGTTGGCGCGTATGGTTGGGTTGCGGAGAGATTGTGAGATTGTGGTTAGGTCACATGTGAACTACGAGGAAGAAGCAACCTCAGGAGCAGGAGGGATGTAAAGGTCAGTAAGCTGGGCTGAGTTGAGTGGGGGACGGAGGGGGGTGACTCTGGGACGCCAGAGTCACTGTCGAGCCCTCTTGAGGTGTCGTGGGCTAGTCGACGAAACACTGAGGACGGAAGGTGCCTACTTGAAGACCCTAGAGATGTCCCCTACTCGGCCCAATCCAGACGGTTGTCGTGCTGGTCCACTGGGGAGACCACACTGTAGTTGCAGCCGTTGTGTGTACTACTGACGCGCCAAGTACACTGCAGCCGTTAACGCCGGACAGAAGGAGATTCACATCACCATATGGAAAGAAGCGTAAATGGATAGAGAGATGGAGAGAGAGAAGCATAGGTTACTGTAAAGCTACGTCTTAGTTTGTGCTTATCTTGGCGAAAGCCGAGTACAAATCAGCATGAGGTTTAACATCTACTCTCGTGTAATGGAAATCATTATATGTATGTATATATATATATATATATATATATATATACAGTATATGTGTGTACTTTTGTAGGCACACTTTCTACTTCACTGAATATCTCGTACATTTTGAATGTTGATTTCTGTATAGATACAAGCTTTAAAGTTACAGTTCAGAAAAAAAAGATACACTTCATTGAACAAACTGACCTTTCATGACACTAAATGCCAAATGGTCTAAGATGTCACCATGGGAACCGGCTAAAAATAGCCTATGTTAGGCTTTTCAGCAAACATAATATTAAACTTAATAAGTTTAATAAGTTTGGAGTTTTAGAAAGAATTTGTAATGATTTATTTTGATAAAATAACAGTATTTAAATACATTATAGTATTTAATAAAAAAATAAAAACAGTTGACAGTATCCCAGTACAACTTGACAGTATCCCCTAACCTCACATTTATGAAGGAAAAAGCAGCCTTGTCCTGAGAACACAGTTCATTAAACTCAGTTGTTTACCCAAAAGCTACTGTATTATAAAAAATGGGAGATTAGAATTTTAGTTTAAAGGACATAATTCACTTAAATGATTTTAAATGGTAAACATTATACCAATGCTAAACAAATCAAACATTAGTTTGATTAGATCTTTGATTGAAAACCTTATTGAAATAGACCTTGTGACAATTTCCCATTACAATAATATTTCTATCTATCTATCTATCTATCTATCTATCTATCTATCTATCTATCTATCTATCTATCTATCTATCTATCTATCTATCTATCTATCTATCCTTCTATCTATCTATAAATTACAGGAACGTCTGTCTGTCTGTTAATCGCATATCTCTCGAACCGTTAGTCCGATGGCTTTCAAACTTGACTACGGGCACGAGTAATTGCAGTGCCAAGTTTGACGTTGTTTGGATTAGAAATCCAAAAGATATCATTAAATATATCGGTAAAAGAAGCACATGTGGAAATTGCAGTAACTTGCAAGAGACAACTTCTCACTTTGAGCACACAAATACGTGTATCGTTTATTTAGTATGAAAAAAACTAACCAAGAACAAATGGCGCTGACAAGCGTCCTACGTCATCACCCATACAGAACATTTAAAGGGACCACGATCCCTGAACAGTTATGAGGAAAAACGCTAAGAACAAAGTACTGCATTTATCACCAACAATGTATAGAACTACATTTAACACAAAGGTGAATTATGTATGTCACAGTCACTACACACGTCCCCCCAGAATTCACCGTATCCGAAGAACCAAACTGTCAACGGGGAGGTGGGCGTATCAACCGACCACAACGGCTGCGCTGTACTGGACGTTGAGGAGACCTCACTGCAGCCGGTGTCCCGTCATGACCCGGGTGTGGGGCATGGAGTGTAGGAGGTTTAGGAGCAAGGGGTGGAGGCAGAGCAGGAGGCCGTCCGCAGCGTGGGGGCTGGGCCAGGTCGGTGGGCCTGGCCACGTCCAAATGAGCCGGTTTGAGGCGGTCGATAGAAAGTCACTCCGGTTTGCCGCCTCTGTCCACCACAAAATGTTTTTCCCCCGTCTCCAAAACCCGGAATGGGCCCTCATAGGCCGGATGTAGCGGTCCCCTGTGGGCATCGTGGCGAATGAAAACGTAGTCAGCCGTCTGAAGTCCAGCGGGGATGTGTGACTGAGGGAGGCCGTGACGTGAAGTAGGGACAGGTGCGAAAAGCCTTGCATTGTCCAGTAGAGTAGACCGCTGGAAAGTAGCAGACCAGGGAACCGTGGCACTAGGGACAAACTCCCCCGGTACCCGCAGTGGCTGTCCATAAACAAGCTCCGGGGATGAGGACTGAAGGTCCTCCTTTGGTACAGTCCTGATGCCCAGCAACACCCATGGGAGCTTGTCGACCCAGTTGCTGTCTTTGAGGCTGGCACGCAGGGCAGCCTTCATTGACCTATGAAAACGTTCACAGAGTCCGTTAGCCTGCGGGTGATATGCAGTCGTGCGGTGGAGTTTCACTCCGAGGCTCTGTGCGACAGCGTCCCACAGCTCAGACGTGAACTGCGCGCCTCGGTCAGAGGAAATGTCCGAAGGAGTGCCGAAACGGGCAACCCAGGTGCCAATAAATCCCTGTGTCATCTCGACAGACGCCATTGACGTCAAAGGCACAACCTCGGGCCAGCGGGTGGTCCTTTCAACCATGGTGAACAGATTATGTGAAACCGTGAGAGGAGGGCAGAGGACCGACCAGGTCTACGTTTACATGGTCAAAACGTCTCTCCGGACCCGGGAACAAACCTAAAGGGGCTTTAGTGTGGCGGTGGACTTTGGCCCGTTGGCACTCAACACAGATGTTAGCCCAACCCCTAACGTCCTTCTTGAGGCCGTG